TAAAATGTTCTAAAAGTTATGACGCAGTTTTGAAGAATGTGTTACGAATGTGGGAAGGGGGTTAGAGTAAAACTTTAATTTCTACGAAAAATAATGATGAAATGGCATTGATTTGTTGTTCAGTTACTAGGTTGTGTGTGACTCTTTGTGACCCCATGGACCACATCATGCCAGCCCCCCCTCCCTGTACTCTCTTGCAGAATTTTATGTATCTAACCATCTTATCCTCTGCTGTTCCCTTCTTCTTTTGCCTTCAATCTTTCCTATCAATAGGTCTTTTCCAATTTTATGTATCTAACCATCTTATCCTCTGCTGTTCCCTTCTTCTTTTGCCTTCCAATCTTTCCTATCAATAGGTCTTTTCCAATAGGTCTTTTCCTGTCTTCTCATTATGTGGCCAATGTATTTGAGCTTCAGTTTCAGTATCTCTTCCTTGCAAAGAACAGTCAGGGTTTATTTCCTTTAGGGTTGACCAATTTGATCTCCTTGCAGTTCAAGGCAGTCTCAAGAGTCTTCTCCAGCATCACAATTCAAAAGCATCAATTCTTCGATGCTCAGCCTTTCTTATAGTCTAACTCTTGCAGCCATACGTTACTACTGGGAAAACCATAGCTTTGACTATACGGACATCTTTGTTAGCAAAGTGATGTCTCTGCTTTTAATATGCTGTTTAGATTTGCCATAGCAATCTTTTCTCCCAAGGAGCAAGCATCTTTTAATTTCATGGCTGCAGCCACTGTCTGCAGTGATCTTGGAGCCCAAGAAAATAAAATCTGTCACTGCTTCCATTTCTATTTACTAGGAAGTGATGGAATCAGATGACATGATCTTAGATTTTTTTAATGTTGAATTTCAAGCCAACATTTGCACTCTTTCACCCTCATCAAGAGACATTTTAGTTTCTCTTCACTGTCTGCCATTAAAATTAGAAGGGCATTGAAGAAACTGTTAATTAAAGCCAGTGATAGTTTGTTCCCACTTTTTTTAGATGAAGAAAGGAGAAAATTGTATTCATACATTGTTCCTTCTTCCTACAGTTGAAAGTACCTTAGCTTTCAGAATTATAGATAATGAAAGTATAGATTATAGAAGATGTGAAAGCTATCTTTCTATTGTGATAATGGAGATGCTTGGCAAATACTGTTGAGGTTAAATCCATCTTAAGCTGTGGAAACTCACTGGCTGATAATGCACTGTATGTATAGCATGTTTTCACATTCACTGGAACCAGAATTGTGGCAAGCTGAAGTTTAGATTGGATGTGGATGACACCTACCTCTTGTAATCAGTGTTAGGGGCAATAATGCTGGTGTTTATCAGACTCTGTAATGGGCTGGATAGAGGCCAGTAAACTGAAATTGACACTTATGATCAGCCAGTTATCAAACAGTGTTAGAGAATTCCTTCCTACTAACTTTTTTCATTCACATTTAGTTTCATGTATAGAAGAAAGTGCGTAAAAATGAATATGCTATATTAAAAGGTTTATTTTGTATTTTAGAAATTTTTGAGAACAAGAGATCTGCTCCTTCACTACAGCCTCCATTTTCATTTCTAGATTGAGAATTGGTTTTGTGAACAGCTTTTTAACCTGTTACACAATTAAATATCTGTCTTTGTATCAGAGAAAAATTACACTTTTGCTATTGACCTTTCTATGTTATGCTGAATTTGAGTTTCTTTTAAATGGTCTTAGCTAGAAGGCAGATTATAAATATTTTTTTAAAAAAAGATAACTGACAATTAGCATAATTCAAGAGATACTGCTAGCATATAAACAAGGTCTTGCAAAACAAAGATAGCTGCATGACTTGTTTTTCAAAATCCCTTCCATATTTCCTTTGGTTCAGTTTTTTTTCTATTTTCACAAAAGTAGTTGGATGTTACATAAAACTATACAAATAATCACATGCTAGTGTTTTAGCTATGCTGCTAGTTTGAATTGTTTTCAACTTTGGAATGTGGATAATATCCTAATTCCTTTTTGAATTGGTAGAATTTTAAGGATTAAGGAAGGATTGCATTTTAAACCTCAAATGAATAGTGTTGTAGAAGTATAACATAAATAAACTACTACATCATGTGAATCAATTAGGTTCTATCTGATGTCTGAACCATTTTGACAGCCTCCAGAGCCTCTCCTTTTCTCACTGCTAAATTCAACTGCACACCGTGTCTTAAGGTTTATAGCTTTTAAAAAACTTAAATTATTCTTTGGGGAAGGCCTTTCTAGATATTTCTGAGGCTTGCATACCTACCCACAGTTTTGATGATACTATCCTGTTCATTGTGGCTTTCACTGGGGTGAGGGTGGGGCCGGCAAAAGCATGTGAAGCCTTTCAGCATTGAAACATGGTCCATTTGTATTGTTTACCAATTCTGTACAATTAATTTTATTTGCTCCATAACCAATTCCAGCATTTAGTAAGTCTTATAGTGAGGGAAAAAAATATTTGATCCCTGCTGATTTTGTACGTTTGCCCACTGACAAAGAAATGATCAATCTATAATTTTAATGGCAGGTTTATTTTAACAGTGAGAAATAGAATAACAACAAAAAAAATCCAGAAAACTGTATTTCAAGAAAGTTATAAATTGATTTGCATTTTAATGAATGAAATAAGCATTTGATCCCCTATCAATCAGCAAGATTTCTAGCTCCAAGGTGTCTTTTATACAGGTAACGAGCTGAGATTAGGAGCACTCTCTTAAAGGGAGGGCTCCTAATCTCAGCTTGTTACTGTGTTTCCCTGAAAATAAGACTGGGCCTTTTTTTTTTTTTGCCTCCAAAAGAGGTACCAGGTCTTATTTTCAGGGGATGTCTTTTATACTCACCACCGGCACTGACAGCCCCACCCAGCTGGTCCACTTCTTCTGCAGCCGAAGGAGCAGCTTCATTCTACAGCTGCATTCCGGCTTGCATTTTGCAGTCAGGCCATAGCTCGGTACTTGGCTGCAGAGGCTTTTCAGAAAGGCCGGTGACTGAGAAATGCAGGCCTGGTTGCAGAAGACACCGTGGAAGAAATGAGCCGGCAAGGAGAGGCCTGGCTGCAAGGTAAGTGGGTGCAGAATGCATGGGGCAGCTCCACCCCACCCCACCCCTGCTGCCTTAGCTTGATTTTTAGTTTTGTGTGCCTCACCCCAAAACTAGGGCTTATTTTGGCAGTAGGGCTTATATTAGGCCCACCCCCAAAAATCAAGCTAGGGCTTATTTTTGGGCAGGTCTTACTTTCAGGAAAACACAGTACTCTATAAAAGACACCTGTCCACAGAAGCAAGCGATCAATCAGATTCCAAACTCTCTGCCGTGGCCAAGACCAAAGAGCTGTCCAAGGATGTCAGGGACAAGATTGTAGACCTACACAAGGCTGGAATAGGCTGTAAGACTATCGCCAAATAGCTTGGTGAGAAGGTGACAACAGTTGGTGCGATTATTCGCAAATGGAAGAAAGACAAAACAACTGTCAATCTCTCTCGGTCTGGGGCTCCATGCAAGATCTCATCTAATGGAGTTGCAATGATCATGAGAAAAGTGAGGAATCAGCCCAGAACTACACAGGAGGATCTTGTCAATGATCTCAAACCAGCTGGGACCATAGTCACCAAGAAAACAATTGGTAACACACTATGCCATGAGGGACTGAAATCTGGCAGCGCCCGCAAGGTCCTCCTGCTCAAGAAAGCACATGTACAGACCCTTCTGAAGTTTGCCAATGAACATCTGAATGATTCAGAGGAGAACTGGGTGAAAGTGTTGTGGTCAGGTGAGACCAAAAATGAGCTCTTTGGCATCAACTCAACTCACCATGTTAGGAGGAGGAGGAATGCTGCCTGTGACCCCAAGAACACCATCCCCACCGTCAAACACGGAGTTGAAAACATTATACTTTGGGGGTGTTTTTCTGCTAAGGGGACAGGACAACTTCATCGCATCAAAGGGACGCTGGACGGGGCCATGTACTGTCAAATCTTGGGTGAGAACCTCCTTCCCGCAGCCAGAGCATTGAAAATGGGTCGTGGATGGGTATTCCAGCATGGCAATGACCCAAAACACACAGCCAAGGCAACAAAGGAATGGCTCAAGATGAAGTACATTAAGGTCTTGGAGTGGCCTAACCAATCTCCAGACCTTAATCCCATAGAAAATCTGTGGAGGGAACTGAAGGATCGAGCTGCCAAACATCAGCCTCAAAACCTTAATGACTTAGAAAGGATCTGCAAAGAGGAGTGGGACAAAATCCCTCCTGAGATGTGTGCAAACCTGGTGGCCAGCTACAAGAAACGTCTGGCCTCTCTGAATGCCAAGAAAGGTTTTGCCACCAAGTACTAACCATATTTTGCGAAGGGATCAAATGCTTATTTCACTCATTAAAATGCAAATCAATTTATAACTTTTTTGAAATGTGTTTTTCTGGATATTTTTGTTACTATTCTGTTTCTCAGTGTTACAATAAACCTATCGTTAAAATTACAGACTGATCAAAGGAATCAACTAATTTTTCCCTCATTGTATTAGTTAGAGAAACATGATGGATCAAATGAATTTTAAAATTGCTTAAAACTGTTTAGCAGCTGGCTTTTCTCTTCTTCAGCCTTGAGTATGTTTCTTGCAGTGAGGGCTCTTAAGTGATATCAATTCTTTTCATGTTCATAGACTTCCACTGACTTTTTTGTACTTGTGGGCTACAGGTAGTCCTTGTTTGGTGACAATTGGGACTAGCAACTTCATCATTAAGTGAAACAGTTGCTACGTGAAACCACCACTGTGCTTACTTCAGCACAGCTTACAGTTTTCTTTGCTTTTCAGACAGTTACTTTTTCATCGCTGTTATAACTGCAAATGATTGCTAAATGAGGTAGTTGCTAAATGAGGACTACCTGTATTGCATATTCTGTTGAAGGTGAGATCTCAGTTTGCTAAGCTTTTAATTCTACTATATTACCATTTATGCAAATCTTGTTATATTAATAAATATTTTTCTGATTTAAATGTTTTCCAGATATGAGACATGATTGTTGGACGCAGAAGATTAAAATTGCTGGGAATTCTGATGATGGTAAATTTCTTTATATATGTCATTGTGGAAGTCTCCAAAAATAGTGGCCAAGACAAAAATTCAAAACGGCAAGTTATACTTCCCAGGAGCAGATTTTGGAGAAAGTATACTCCTCATAAGGCATATTGGAATAAACAGCAGCAGAAGTTGGAACACTTATATAATCCTATTTTTGCATTGCTTTTCAATATGACTGTGGAAGAAAGGTTATCTTTCAATAACAGCTTTTTGAACTCTTGTGATCCTGATCCATTTGTATCCTCAGATCTTAAAGATTTTGAAGACTTACCAGATAGGTTTAAAGACTTTTTTCATTATTTAAGATGTAGAAATTATTCATTATTAATAGATCAGCCACACAAGTGCAAACATAAACCGTTTTTGCTTCTGGCTATTAAATCACTCATACCACATTTTGATAGAAGGCAAGCAATCCGGGAATCTTGGGGAAGAGAAATTAAATTAGGAGACATAACTGTTGTGAGGGTTTTCCTATTAGGTCAAATTCCTCCTGAAGATAACTATCCCGATCTGTCAGATATGTTGAAATTTGAGAGCAAAACCCACCAAGACATACTTCTGTGGAACTACAGAGATACTTTCTTCAATTTGACTCTGAAGGAGGTACTATTTCTAAAATGGGTCAGTAACGCTTGCCCAGATGCTCAGTTTATTTTCAAGGGAGATGATGATGTTTTTGTGAATACCCATCAGATCCTGGATTACTTGAAGAGTTTAACTAAAGAAAAAGCCAAAGACTTGTTCATAGGTGATGTTATCCGTGATGCTGGACCTCATCGTGATACAAATGTGAAATACTATATCCCACACAGTATTTATGAAGGCTCTTATCCTCCATACGCAGGAGGTGGCGGATTTCTTTATTCTGGTGATCTGGCATTAAGATTAGCTAACATATCTGACCAAGTCCTTCTTTATCCTATTGATGACGTGTACATTGGCATGTGCCTTGAGAGACTTGGGCTTTCTCCAGAAAAGCACAAAGGCTTCAAAACATTTGACATTGAAGAGAAACAGAGGGACAATATTTGCTCCTATACAAACCTAATGTTAGTCCACAACCGGAATCCTCAAGAAATGATTAAAATCTGGACGAACTTGCAAGATCCACATTTAAGTTGTTAAATATGTATGTGTCCAAAAATTATTTCTAAATTTTAGTTTAAATTTTTTGGCTAAATGGTAAGCATATTATCTTCATTTGGTAGCTTGTTTTGTAAACCAAAATTAGCTAGTAACAGATTGTCTAGTACTTCTAAAAGTGAGATTACAACTGCAAGAGGGCACATCAGAAGTTATGGCATGAAAATATTCTTATTATTTACTGTCCTAAAATTTTGAAAAATTAAAGCTTTCAAAAGTTGTGATTAGCATACTTTTAAAGACTTGATTAGTCAAATTATATTCAATAAATTGCTGTTATTCTGATACTGTAATTTAATTATGGTGATAGATTCCATCTTTCCTGAGATGAGAAATTGTAGAGATTTTGCTGTTAACTCAGACTCTTATTTTCCCAAGTTCCATAATAACTTAAATAATATCCTAATTAAAGAGGGGGGTTTGCAGGTTTGTTTCCACCTTCAACTTCAACTCCTTTATCACTTCACTAAATAATATTTTAGTTAATGATGGTAGAAACATCTCTAATACAGGACTGTGTATGTAAAAGATCAAATTTTACGTCAGTGAGAATCTCATGAAAATGGTGGTGATTGAGAAACCAATTTTTAAAAAATCCTTAAGGTTATTGAGTCTATATTGGAAGGAATATATTCTAAAAATCTCAAATCACTATATTGCTATATCTTCATATGTGTAATATCTGACAATTCAAACAGCATTTGCTGTCTTTGTATATGTAAAAGTGCCTGTATTTATTGTTTAAATGGAAGACCAAAATATTTTCTTAAAAATATTTAAGAAACATTTGTAAAGTGCTGTCAGTCATATTTAAATAAAATAGAGTATGCTATTTTAAATGTGTTGAAATGCGAAATGTTAAATAAAATTGTTTTTGAATTTGAAAAAAAATGATTTGTGTACATTGCGGTATATATGTAATATGCCCAGACAGTTCTAAATACTTCAGTGCTTGGCAACTGCTCATGACTAACAGAGCAGTTAAAGAAATGAAACTTCCACATATCACAGCTCTGTCATAGCTTGCTATGAAGAAAAAAAATGACAAGTCTAACTAATTTTTATGTCTTTATCATATTCCATGTCTGCTGTTGGGAAAAATGGGAGGAGGGAGCACTGTGCGTGCCCCTTGACTCTGAAAAACAGAGTGGAAATCAAATGAATATAGCTTGCAGGAGCAAACTAGATTTAAAAGATAGCACTGAATGATACTTTGCACTGGTAATTTCCTTCTATTGGTACAAAAGTGCTGCCAAAAATGTTTCTGTTGTTCTAGTTCAGGCTAAAACAGTGTTCTCCAAATACTGGCTACAGTGATTAAGATCTTACAGAGATAAAATAAATATACGGCATCTGTTACTCTGATGTTATAAATTAAAACAGTAGCAAACATATTTCACATTTAGGTACAGATTTTAGGATGAACCATCAAAAAACTAGAACTTCTGTATGTTGTCTATCTTTACCAAAGTATTTGTAGAACAAAATGAATTACTCTTATTGTATCCTAGTTTATTCTTTGTGTTAATTAACCAAAAATGAAATATCCTCAAATAGCAACCCTATATTTGTTTAAAGGCTGCTGTCCATTGAACTTGAATATGTTTCAGTGAACTTATATCTGCATAAGCAAAATAAGATTGCACTCCAAATATATTTTAATTTATGAAAGTAGCTACAACATATTGCTTTTGTCCAGCTTCTTGTGTCAGCTGATCCAATCTATAGAAGTAACATTTTGGTAACTAATAAAATATTTGGAATTTGGAAACTGGTATGATGCTTTAAATCTTTTCTAAAATGTGCTTATGATTTGATGCTGCTTTTTATTTTATGATTTCTTATTCTATCACAACATAAAATGGTGAGTACACAACTGAGTTGAGGAATGAATTGATTAGTCAACATTTGGCATATGATGTATATGGCACAAATTGGAGAATTCCTAGAGACAGGACATTTTTGGAGTTGTATGCGCTATAGAATTGGCTTTTATGGAAGAAACCACATGTTGCACACTGCAGATTTTGTAAATCTAGTTTGAAATTTTCATTGAAACCCCAAAGATAACTGACCAAAGTCCTGTATGGCAACCTTGCCCATAAGGATTGATTTTATTAAAATATGAATTGAAGTTATTTAAGTTATAATTAAAATTAGTTACTGATATGCATTAATTAAATAGAGTGTAATGGAGTTACACTACTCTGAGTTTCTTAAGTATAAAATGTTGATAAAGAATTTACTGGTAAGTGACAACACTCAGAAGCATTTTAATTTGTTGTCTAAAGCAATTATTCCTAATAGAAACCATACATAATATTTATATTTATTATGACAAGATCCTACTTGTTCCACAGTGCATTCTCCCAAGTGAATGTGTAGAAGACTATTATCTCTGTCACAGATTCAATACATGCTTTATACATTCTTATTGTTTGGAATAGCTTTTTTTTATATAAACAGAGCAGTTGTCCCTACTTCCCAAAGTTGAGTGTAATGGACCCACTATCGGTAATAGCACTGTATATTTTTATCTTACCATATGGCCTCTGGGCTAAATATTTTATATACAACTGCAAGTAAACATTGGCAAAGAAAGACACAGTAGGGGATCAATTTGACCAAATGTGATATTTTCCTCTATCCTGTACTGCTGGAGTTTCAGATATCAATATTATTGTAGGCAGTAAGTAGCACAGTGTTGAAAATCGTGGACCTCAATTGACGTATCCAATGACCCTTGACAAATATTTTTGTACAGAAGTGTTTGCTGTTCTCTTTAAACTATGCTAAGGTAGAAAGATAACTATACTTGTGTGCAGCAGCCAGGATAGTACTTAAGATTGCGTCTAGAGCAGCAGTCTCCAACCTTTCCAGCTTGGCGGCTTAGTGGGGGAGGGAAAGGCATGGTTCCGTTACTGGCAGGCGTGCGCATGAGCGCACACAGCTCCATTTGTGCAAGCAGCAGGCCAGTGGAGCTGTGCGTGTATGCTCATCCACCACTTGCATGGCCCAGTTCTGAACGGGCTACGGCCGGGTAATGGGCTGGGGGCTGGGGACCCCTGGTCTAGAGAGTTGCAAATACCGATAATGAGAAGTTGCATTGGTGGTTGATAAGCAGAACTGTCTGAATCTTAATAACTGGACTCCAATGAGACCCCTAAATTTTATGACATGGTCTGCTATCTTGAATAGCTGGCAGTTTAACAAACATGATCAGTAATTTCAACTTACAAGTATTGCATCTGTCTTTTGCAAATTTATTCAGATTTCTGAGTCTCAGAATACTAATTTGGGAAGATTGAAAAATAAGCATTGCAAAATAAAATTAATGGAATTTAGTTTTCCTTAAACACTTGTTGGCTCTAGATTGTTTTCAAGTGGCATGCTTCAAATTAAATTGGGAATTGGATAGTTTGGATTTAATTACAAAAGATAAAATATTTTTTTGTGGCCATCTATTTCATGCAATACACTAGCTGGCTCACAACAATCCATAAAAACATAGTTAAAATCAAATGTGCCCTTTCCCCTAGGTGTCAGACCAGAAAAATCAGCCTCCTTTATACCCCAATGCTTGAGGGAAGAATTCATCAAGAATGGTTGACAATGCAATCCTGTTCATAATCACATAGTTTTCTATTATATTAACCACAAATGCAAATAAGATTTGTCTGAAGCTTTAGACTAGAGCATTCTGCTGGGCTTGAAGTAGAGTCAAGCTTCTGGCACAACAAAAATCTGTGCATTATCATACCGTAATGGAATAAATGCCATTGAGTAAATAAGCTTTGGCAGCCAAGTCCTGCTTTTTATCTAGTGTGAACCACAGTGTAGTACCATATCTTGCTTTTGATTTAGCATAATGAATAGATATGCTCCTTATAGCTTAGTACAAGGTGCAAACTAAGCCACTATGGATTATCCAACAACTACCTGTATAGTATAAAATATTTTAAAAAGCGATGTGAGAATGCAGTCCCTATGATCATTTATACCATGGTTTATTTTAACCATGCTAAAACCATAATTTCTCATGGGAAACTAGTTGGACAAAACATCTTCCTCAAAGCCAATTAGAGCAGCACTAGAAGTAGGCCAAAGCAATGAAGATGAGAGAAATCCACGTATTTTTTTTCTCTACAGATACTTCTGCAGCTGTGTTTATTTTTCTACATAATGTGATCAAATAGCATTAGTGTTATGTAATTGTGTAGTACTCTGAGTGAAAACTTCAGGCTGCTTGTCTTGAAGATCCATAATTAGCTTCCCCAAAGACATTACTGTTCACTGTGCTATTTCTCTCTGCTTGTACTTGCCGATATAATTCATGTACAGACTACTGCAAACACTTTTCACTTTCAGAAGCAGACAACAGAGGCTTACATGAATAGCAGAAACTGGTGGGTGGGGAAAAAAGAAAAAGGCTTTTTAACTAAAGTACCTTAGAACTGAACTGGCATAATAGGCTTGGATAAAATATTTCTTTCTCCTCTCATCTTGTTTTGAGCAAGGATTTTGTTTTGGTTGCTTAGATAGAAGTTAGAAACGTACCTCATCTGAAAAGTTCCCCTGAGATCAATTAGACAATGATCATATCTAGCACTTGCCTTAAGTGCTTTGTGTTGATCTTAAATGTGCCTATATATAAGATAAATGAATAAATATTTAAGGTTTAGCTCCGATTTATATTTTAACACTATGCAATGTTAACAATAATGGCATTCTCACAGGATAGGTGCACACCCAACTTACCTGAATGCCTTAATTTTTATTGTAGATTCTAAAAAGAAATATAATTAAAGGTTAATTAATTAAATACAGAAAATGTCAGAAAGTTCGATATTAGTTTGGAAAGGGAAAATAGCAGAAAGATAGTCTGAAAAAAATGTTTTGACTCCTTTGCCGCTCTTAAGACTATTAGGGGAAATCCTGATCTTTCTTTGTACCACCATGTCCTTTAATAGTAAATATGTAATTGAGGAAGGCAAAAGAGGATGTATGTCCTATTTTTCATTGTTGAGGAATCTTGATCCCTGCCTAAAGGAACCAGGTAGGATGGGATGGGAATGGGAAGGAAAAGGGAAAGTTTTTACCCTGCTGCCATGACTAACTTTAGGAGGCAGTGCTCATCTTTGTTTCTTGAGCCAAAGAGCCAGGATTATTTGGAGACATTTCCGCAGTCATGTGGCTAGTATGACATCACGCTGCAGCACAAAACACAGTATGCTGTTACCTTCCTGCATGCTTATATTTGGGGTGGGGACCAACTGCTAAAAATTGTTATTCCAGTTCTGAGCTTAAAAAGGAAAGACACAGAACTGCATGTTCTTGTGATGAAGCTCAGTTATGACAGTAATGGTATTAATATGATTTATTTGTGTAACTTTTGGTAATAAAAATGGGAACTGTAGGAAAGATACAATCAGCAAATTGTTTTTTTGAAATATCTGCTTCCATTTCAAGGTTGTTTCATCCATAGACCAATGGGAGTTCCCCTGGTAGCTAATAACTTCAGGAAACATTTTTTTGTGAAGATTGTACTATAGACTATTCAGGGGCTGCTAATTATATAAAAACATAATTGTAAACCCAAGGCTTTCTGAGCAATTTGCAATGTAGCAGTATGCTGCACCAAATGACTTAAGCCAGGGCTGTTCTAATGGTTTTAGAAATTATCTCCAGCTCAGGACATGGCAGGATCCCACCCAAAATGTATTTTAATGTGATCAAATTAAAAAAAACAATACACAATGGGTACTGTTGTATACTCTGTTCGCGTGCGAATGATGAAGACACATGGCGATGCTGAACAAACACTTTATTCTCCTTCTACAACAGTGTTTCCCAAACTTGACAATTTTAAGGCATGAGGACTTCAACTCCCAGAATTCCACAGCCAGCAATGCTGGCTGTGGAATTCTGGGAGTTGAAGTCCACATGCCTTAAAATTGTCAAGTTTGGGAAACACTGTTCTACAACAACCAAGCAAAAGCAAAAGGCACGCAGGCCTTTTTATATGGCCAGAAGCCCGGACAGTGTCAACCAATAGGAACAGAGCGTTTTCGTGCCTTGCACATGTGCACAAGGCCGGCACTGCTCTGTCTGGTCCCGGGCAGCTTTTGGAATGCCCGGGACCAATGCAACGTCCCGAGCCTGCATTTGGTTACAACAG